GCTGCAGACAGCACATAAATATTGTCAACAGGAGGAGCTACTGTGCAGCCTAGCTGGGCGTGGCGGAAGACACAAAAGGGAATTGCTGCCTAGAGCATGAGTTGAAGCCAGAAAGCTTGTCCATCAGTACAGGGCTGATGTAGCACTGGATACTTATTGCACTTAGTGCCCTTTTCTCTTCCACATGACTGGGCTAATTCCTTAATACAACATTAACCTGCTACCCTACATCGCCTCCACAGTTTCTTTGTCCCCAAAGGAGAAAGGGTTGGTCTTAGGAAATAAACAAAACTGTCATGTACAAAATGTTGCCCCTCTGCAAATATATTTTTATTAAACTCTGACTCCTCCCACAGGACAATACTTTTGGGAGCAAAAAAAAAAAAAAATAAAACAAATTAGTCAGCATTAACCATGGGAAAAAAAAAAAGTAAACAAAAACTAGGTGGGATTAGGGGGAGCAAAGGGAGAAATCCCTGCAGGTAGCAGGATCAGGAAACTGCATTTTGTAGATTATCCTGCAGTTTGACATGCATTTTTTCTATATAGCGCAGCCAAGCAAAGATGACTGATAATACAGAACAAAGCAACACAAAAAGCTTCCTTAGGAAAATAACTACCACTTTATGGTTTTAGCGGAATGAAGCTTGTTCATACCTTCCTGATAACCCTGAATAAGAGAGTTTTGTTTTTCAAGCATAATTTTCTGCAGATTATATAGAGCCTTGTCATTTTAGCCAGCCTAGTACTTAAATAGTTTGATTTTTTTAAACCCAGATACTGAAACAATACAGACAATTGTTTTGAGACATTTTTTCTTCTTCAGTTTATATAACTGAGGCATCTCACTTTCCATGCTGTCCTGGGAAAGCACTGCTCAATTATTTTTTGGCTCCTATCTACCGTACGTGGCTAATGTGAGGTTGGAATAATCTGCTTTGCAATCCTACTGCTAAAATGCAGAAGAGATGAAAGAAGAGAAAAGGGAGTGGTAATTATTAATTGTTCAGGAGGTTTCCCTCCAATGACTCCTCCAGGGCACAAGAGCTGCTGAGCTAGCTAATGGCAGCACTTGAATTCACATCTGGTAACCACCCTGCCAACCTGTCTCAACAGGACTGAACTAGATAATTCAACGGAAAACTGTCAAAAACATTTGGATCAACTTCAGCAACTTCAGGTGTACCAGAGGTCATTTTCTCCTTAGCAAAACACTGATCACCTCCACATGAGTGCTTATGAGAAGACAGTTTTATTGCACATCCCCTTTTGGACACAGCTTCTGATGGTGACAACAGCATGAGGTAGATGATTGTTCTAGAACTTTAGACTGAAAATAAAATGTAAATTTTTAACAATGAGAGTAATTAGCCATTGGAACAACTTACCATGGTCATGGTGGATTCCCCATTGCTGACAATTTTTAAATCAATCTTGGATGTTTTTCTTAAAGATATGTTTTGCGAATTATTCTGGGGAAGTTCTATGGCCTGTGTTACACAGGAGGTCAGACTAGATGATCACAATGGTCTCTTCTTGCCTTGGAATCTATTAATTACTTTAGGCATCCAATGTCAACAACATCCCGCTATGTTACATGACCACTAATATTGTCCATTATAACTCAAAAGTGAGCTGCTAATCAGTCTCAGTACAACCACTTCCCTGTTCTGTTATTGAGGATAGATTGATCTTTCTTTTATGTTGAGATTAAAAAAAAGGACACCAGGTTGACAAGCATGGAAACTGAAGGCCTATATCCACACAACAGGTTATTGCATGGGTAGTGCTAGCTTCCCCACCAACCCTGCCAAATATATCACTTCTAAAAATGAGATTGGGATTCAGTCTCCTTGTCCATTAAATTCTCAACTTCTTTACAGTTTTGCTATATGGGCACCTCCACTAAGAAATGGACTGAAGCCATCTCAGATCTCATTGACAAAACACCCTCCTTCATGAGGTAACTAGTCACTACCAGCCTGGACCAGATCTGAAATGAACAAAGAGGAGGCGAACAACACTCTGTTCCATTAGAGATCTCGGGAGCCAGTCAATTCCTTTTGAAGAAATCTGTCTAATAGTAGTAAAGCAGAACTTCCCAAACATACACACTGAATGGGCCAAATCCTGCATAGGGACTCTTACAGGGGATGGGGGGAGAGGGGCAAATTGCAGTAGTGTCTGTGACCTGGATAGTTCTCCTCCACGGGTGGTGTTAGCCAATGGATCTGTCTGTATAGTCATTGACCAATTAGCTACACCCCTATGCCTGCTATGTTGCTGTTGAGAGGGATAATTCACAGGGAATGGAGTCTCTTTGGACTACGGTCTGGTGTCTGTCTCTCTAAGCAAATCTAAGGCTGTCCGTGCCTGCATGGTGAATGGAGTGGGGAGACTTTCCTCAACAATCTACAACTGCTATTGCATAATCTCCTCCAATTCTCCCCTATAATGGCTTTAAATAAACTCACTTGTATGTACTGTATCCATAATCTTTATAGAAAGAGAAGCCTGTATGTCTCTTCCCAGTTTCACTCAATCAAGTAGCAAAACGATTTAGCTATTCAACACACTGAAGAAGATGACGACGAAATAGGAATTGTTTGAAGTTCTGCCACTTCTTGACCCACTGCTTTGGAAAATGGGGAGTCTGTCAGGTTAGACATTTGCTGCATGTTGACTTGACTCCAAATAAACTGGAGAACTTGTGATAGCTAATACAACGTTGTTCATATGCGCTGCCTCAACATTACAGCTAACAATGGTAATTACGGGATAGTTTAAATTTAAAATGTGGTACAGAGGCATGCACCTTCACAGGAGGGGAATCCTAAAAATATATTAGCCAGCTGGCCCAGATGTTTTCACTTTAACATTAAAGGCCTTGTGTTATTTTTTTCCTAGCAGAAGAAACAGCTGGGACTTAAATGGGAAAAAGAGAAAAGCAATGAGATGACAGAGAGGAAATGACATACAACCACTCTTTTTAAAGCAGCATTATCCTTAAGTACTCAAACTCATCAGCAGGGGTCAAAATCTTAGAATACACACATACTATAGCAAAATACACTGTTCTGCAAACTTCAAAGATTTTTTTAAAAGCAGGATTACTCAGAGTTTAATTTATCCATTTAAAATTTATAGTAAACCATGAAATTACATTCTTTGCATTATTCTCACAGCTGATTTCTAGTCAGAAGTAGAAGGTGAAGAAATTCAGCAGATTTTCCCACTCCAAACACAGAAAACTTCAAACTTCCTTTTTTAAACAGAAGAAGAATCTCCCTGAGTTTCCATGAGTGATCTGATGTCATTGCTTCCCTCTTTAGAGCTCCTCAGCTCTCTCGGAACAAATCTACAAAAAAAGTTTCCATCTCATGAAAACAGCGTGTATGTACTGGGGAGGGACGGACCTGAACCAAGCTAAACAGCTTGTCCTAATGCAAGCATGACAACATTTTATTAATCAACATGATCATGCCTCCAAGTAAATTAGGTAGAGTTGTTTCTGCATGACAGTACAAAAAACATCATCAACTACAGCTGGTGACTCATTGATTTTGGATTGAAATCTGCCTATCAGCATGTTTTAAGGAACATTTGGAATTTCATTAAGTGCACAAAGCCCTGGCTGTTTTTTTGGGGGGGGGGGGGGGGGGGGGGGAGGAGATGGGAAAGGATTTAAACTGATCTTAATGGTAGGAAATAAATACATGATAGCTTTGCATGTACTTGCAGAGACTGGTTCATATGCTCATGTTGCCTGAGCATATCAGCATGGCTGGGCTCCAGCTTTACAGTCCTGCGATCATGGCACACAATCAGCGATAGACAAGAGTTAGATTATTCCTGTTCAATAACTTGTAGTAATTCATGCTGCAAATCCCCATGCTGTTATACTAAAAAGGCTAGGTACTGACATATTCTATTCTACTGTGCTGAAATAATAGAATTTTCCAGAAGGACTCAATTTAAGATTTCCCACTTCTGCATAATTTCTCCTGCCACGTATTTTCCATGTATATGCCATTCAATTATAGAGAAGAGAAAGAAAACTAAACCAGGCGCCTCTGTAAGTCACTTAGCAATGTGAAATATATACCAGAGGTATCAGATAACTAACCTATATAGGAGCTACCCCACCAGTCCAGTATCCAAGGATTCAAAGGCAGGTGCAAGAAGTCTCATAATAAACAATTATGAAATAACTTCCCTGCAATTTATCGCTTTTAGACTTTTTTATCCTATCTAAATTTAAGGAACTGTTTAACATCAGTGAACTTTAAACTCAAAATGTTACCGGTTTCACCTCTCTCCACATCTGTGTGATTTTGTTTTTATTTGAACTATAAAAGAGTTCATAAATAATGGAATTGTTTGTTTAATAAGTTATACTTCTCTATTTTCTCCTTCCTGATAGCCCAGCACTATTAATATTGTGCAGCCACAACACTAAGGGAATATTATGATCAGGATTGAAATAAAAGGGTCAGATCTCTTGCGACAGCAATTCAAGTGACCTATGAAAAGCACTCTGTTACCATGAGATAAATACAAACTTATAACTATAACACAAAGAAATCATATTAGGACCTTGACAGTAACCAAGTTCAAGGTTTTCATCCCATGCATGTGTGTCTTTTCAAGTTAGGCTGCAGAAAGTTCTAAGTTAACTATAAACAAAGGGTCCAAATTCTGCCCCATCTCACACATTGATTTCACTGTAGAAGTTGCTGCCAGGGTGCAAGCCAAGACAGAACCGAGTCAGGAGATTCTTTATGCCTGAGCTAAGCAATTTTCCTGTTTCTTAGCTGGATACAGTGCTTTCTTACAGTCCCAAGAGCGACACCCTGTCCTACTGGCTGCGAGGTGAATACACTGAATACTGACCCAGGATGACTTCACAGGTATGAAGTAGAACACTATGATTTCACAATGGGAGAAACAAAGTGTTCTTGCAGTTCATGCTATGATGCACAGCATCCATTCGCCCTTACCTCTTTCAGCTCCTGCGCGACAGAATTAAGGCGTTCATTTTCAGACTGGGTGTTGGCAAGGACATTCTTCAGCTGCTTTAGCTCAGTCTGCAGCTCCATTACTTTTTTCATGTAGTACTCTTCTTTGGTAGCAGACTCCTGAATCAAGGTCTCCTCCCTGCTCTCTCCATCGGCTGCTACCTTCTTGTGGTTGGTATGAGCCTGCCCAAAAGCCTAGGATGGTCAGAAAAAAAAAAAGATATCTTTGATTAATTAACACCTCGACCTTTGCATAAAAATTACTTCCATTTCAATAGTTCACAAACATTTCCACATTTCAGAACTGCAAAATAAATAATTAAATCTTTTCTTGCACTTCAATCTCTCCATTCCAGGGCAGATCGTTAACCGAGGCAAACCGGCTTAGCTTGCATTGACTTCAAAGGAGCTATGCTGATGTATACCAGCTGAGGCTCTGGCTGTGTGCGGATAAGGACCTGACCCTGTAATTGGAAACCGTTTTGCCCAAGCAAGGCCCCTGAAAATAGCAGGATAGGGCCCCAATGGTGTTCCCAGTGACTTATTCATGATGCATGAACAAATACACCTATAGAACCATGGATACATTCACATACCTGAGGGACTATCTACTATATTTCACCCTGCTTGAAATTCCAATGTTGATAGCTTACTCATCATTTTTGTGGCTGCCATTTTAGTCTAAATGCTATGCCAAAAACTACATTTTGTACACAAGGAAAAACAACCAATTTAGGGGATTCCATTAAAATCTGGACTGGATAACTGTTAAAATGGGCAATATCAAACAATGGCTCACTATAGTAATGAAGGATCTCCTTTTGAATGCCATACATATTAGTAAAATCTACCGCCTTCATACAGCATGAGCACAGGTACTCAAAACAGGGAGGTAGTGGGCCAGTTCTTAAATTTGCTGTTGCCACAACAAGTGACTTTATTTCCTGGTTCAACTTCTAGCTCTGAAGAGAAGATGGATCTTTAAACAAACATTGCAGTTTATCCAGGTTTTATGTCAAATCCTCTTGCCAACACTACCCATATTTGTGGTGTGGATCAGGATTCAGGGTCCCAATTCAACAAAACACTTGATGGGATTATGCACATGCTTAAAATTAAGCACACGCTTACATCTCATTGACTAATGGCACTTAAGCATGTTTTCAAATGCTTTGCTGAATCAAGACCTTAGTCTCCAACTGGACAAGATATCTCTGTGTGATGATCAGATACAGTACTTTTATCCCCCCTCCCTTGTCCCCTTCCCCCCAAGGCATGGTATACAGTGTAAGTGGTCAGGTCCAGCCGCTGTGAAGACTGAATCATGGAAAACAGATTTTACGCTAACAGGCTGTTCTGTTTCCTGGTTTTCATTTGTGATGGGAAAAGCATCTCTCAGCAAAATTCTCCTTTGAGATGTAAGCATGTAGGTCTTATCGACTCAGTGAGCATTGGATGGCAGAACCTGTTTTTAGAGCCCAGTCAATTGCTTTCACTAAAACACATTATAAAGCAAAGGGTTTCTTAACAATTTAAGTAGGTATATACTGGTAACAATCTGCCTGACAGATGGACTGGAGTCAATGAGATTAATGAATGCTATCTTTAAACTACTGTATGTGTTTGTGCCCCAGTCCATTCCAAGATGAATTTGGGGCTTCCAGGTGCCAGCAGAGTTTTCAGGGTGCCAGTCTCCATAAGGCAGTTTTTTTTTATAGCTAATATTAATATTATGCTTTAAGCCAAATCAAAGACAAACTAGCATCTCCTTTCCAAAGGAAACTCCTTGTCTAGTCAACTGTAAATTTTTTCCATTAACTATTTTTTCCTCTGCTCTTCAAATGTATCCTATCATCACAAAAGGAAATTTGCTTCCAATATATATAAGTAGGTTTCAGCATTTCATTCTTCTGCATATTAGATAGGAAGCATTTACTGATACAGTACTTACTGAATACACCAGGGCTGAAACATGATTGATAATGTCTGCCCTATCCAGTATTAAAGGCACCCACTTACTGCTCTTATCATAGTGAATTCGATTTCAGATAAGCAAATCAGAGAGCAGCTGACATATATCCACTGAGGAAATTCTGGCCAGATTCACTCAGCCAACCCGAGGGAAATTAAAAAGCGTCACATTTCAGACAGAAAGTAAAGCACCATCTGTGCAAGTCGTTGTCAAATGAGTTTCAACTGTACAAAGCAGCTTAAAAGCCTAATACCTCAGATCTCCATAAGTGTCAGAGGGATGGCAAAAAAACATATAAGCTGCTTCTCCTCAACACACCGACATTTTCCCCCCAAGAATTAAAATCAGTCTGTTATGGACCTGCATTTATTGTAAGTCTACAGTATGGAGAAAGAGGCTCTGACATCCACCAGTAAAATCCACCAGTAAAATCAACTGTTTTCAATATGATGGGCTTTTCTTACCAGTAGGCTGCTAACACTAAGCAGGTTACAACAACTTAAACCCATTTCTGATCACCCATTAAAAAAAAGGCTAAGCAAAATTAAAACAAATTATTTAGTAAATTATCTACAGAGAAATTCTTGAGAGCAATGACTAGTTTACATTTAATCCTTTGGACACAGGTGTCAAGTTTAGGATTTCTTGTAGGAGTTAATGACTCTCAAGTGCAATGAAGTATTTCATCATCACTTCATTGGTGCAAATACAACCTATGGCCAAGATCATAGGAACATAGCAATTGCCATACTGCATCAGATCAGTGGTCCTTTTAGTCCAGTACTCTGTCTCCAACAGTTGCCAGTGCCAGATACTTCAGAGAAGGTGCAAGAAACCTCCTAATCTCTAGTAGTTGCGAGATTGGCTTAAACCCTGAAGCATGAGGCTTAATATCTCTTCCAAAATGTAAATGGTCATTAATGATTATAACTCTGGATATTGTTGTTATCCATATAACATATTCTAACTCTTTTAGAATCTTGCTCTGTTTATGGTCTCCAAGATGGCATCCTGTGGCAATGAGTTCCACGGTTTAATCACACGTTGTGTGAAAATATCTTTCCATTTAATAAATTCAAATTTGCCATTTTTTAATTCCATTGACTGTCCCCTTGTTCTTGTGTTATGAGATAGAGAGAACAGAAGTTCCTGATCTACCTTCTCGAAACTTTTGTTATTTTATATGCTTCTATCATTTTTACTCTTGTTCATCTCCTTTCCAAGGTAAACTATCCCAATCTTTTCAATCTCTCTTCATATAAGAGTTTTCCCATTCCCCTGATTATTCTGAGTGTTTTCTCTGGGCCTTCTCTTAATTCTGCAGTATCATGCAATATGTTGTTATAAATTGTGACAAATAAATAAAATCTGCTCACATGGACTGATTGCAAAATTGTGACTGAAGTCAACAGTGACTAAGGTCCCAGTCCCACAATTTATCCTGTGCCAAGTCCCAGTGAAGACCCACATGCATCATATTGCAAGATAAAGGCCTAAAAGACTTAACCGTCCTTACCATCCAACGGCTGTAGGATGTCCTGTCTGAAGGAGGTTAGTAGTTTCTGTACAGTGAATAGGTAACCATCACAAAGCCAACCATCACAACAGACACCCTTCTTGGTGATTTGAGCAGGAATCAAAGGTTGTATGGGGAAGGAGACCTAACTACTTCCTAAACTCCAGCATGTGGTCCACCCAGAATAAGGTTGAGGCAGGGCACTACGGTAAATACATGCTGCTACTATCCAAGATACACTTATTGCATACACTTACTATATACCAGAATCCTTTACTCACAAAGCTGTCAGCCTGGTACCTTTCTCTAATACTAAAGATGCCCAAAGAAAAAAAAATTGAGAGTTCTCCCATTTTTAACCATGTCTCACTGTGCCTCTCTTCTACTTAATAGTGGGGATCCCATATGTTCATGTTACAACTAACTATTTACATAACTGTAATAGGCTATGTGGAATGGGAAATTTTATTTTAACCCAGATGTCCATAAAATGTAATTACCATCCATGGCTATGGTCCAGGCCTGTCTTAAAAATCATACGTTATGAGAAAAACAGGTTTTAGTAGCATGCATGAAACCCATGAACATTAAAGCACCGTTAAAACCAGTGGTGTTCACAGCCTCCTTTTACTTTCTTTGCTATTTAGATGCAAGAATCAGTGGGGGGATGGGGAGAATTCAGAGTTGATTAAGTAATGCTTCTCTTACTCCTCTACTGAATGCTCATTTTGCTTTCGCCTACTAAATTACCTGGTTATTGTGCTGTGATTAACAAGCTTCAAATACCGGCATTTTCCTGAGGCTTTTAAGAAAAAAGTGGAGGTAAACATCTAAGTGCTAACTGCACAAAGAAACATCATGGGGCATGTCTACGCTACAGCTTATGTCAGCATAACTTATGTCGCTCAGGGGGCTGAATAAATCACCTCCTCCCACTCCCAAGCAACCTAAGTGACATTGACTTAAGTGCGGATGTGGACAGTGCTATGTCAGGGGGAGAGCTGCCGCCGCTCGCGGGGGCTGGAGTGGTTAAGCCGACGGGAGCGCTCTGTCCCATTGGCTTAGAGTGGCTACAATAGCAGAGCTTGCAGCAGCAAGCTGCACCGCTGTAAACTCTCTAGTGTGGCAGTAGCCTAGAAGAGGAAGGAGGCCAGTTATAAAGGGATCATAGTAGAAGAGCGTTTTTAAGTGTCACTAAAATGCAACCCTGACTGGATAATTCAAAAATCGAAGGTATGTGACTACTATGCGGCCATGCAATTAAGGAGGATATCATAATGCATACACACAAGGGGGCCGAGTGTATGCCCCCTTGCATACACTTTATGCAAGCCCCCTTGCAGCCAACTTTATTTCTCCCATTTTCTAACTTTTGAGTGCTTGAGTTTGCAACCGTAATAATGTTCTTTTCACTCAGTTTGTGTGTGTGATATATATTAATTTATACACACACACAGAGAGAGAGAGAGACACACTTTTTCCTGCATATTAGTGTAGCAAGCTACCAAAATCCATA